AATGATAATTTAATGATAATTAAATTGCCTATCATCGATATTAATAACCTCGAACGCCATCTACCAATTGAAAATCAGTTCATATTAACTGTCAACGTATTTAAATTTATTAATTGCTACTAATAAGATGTAAATAAGAAAATACAATTAACTAGCAAAAAACGAATTAGACTAATAATTAGACAAACTAGACTATAATCAAATTTTGTTAATTAAATTGCCTATCATCGATATTAATAACCTCGAACGCCATCTACCAACGCTAAACTACCCTGTCAACATATTTTAAATGTATTAATAATACATTTCAGTTTTTGAAATTGCTATTAATAAAAAGTATTTAATTAACTAGCAAATATGAAAAAAAGCAATTAGACTAAATATGAACATTAATTTCGAGTTGATAATTTGTATTATATAATCAAATTAACTGAAACGAACAAACATGTAATCACCATGAAACAAATCTTCAGTTAATAACGCTATCTATTGGTAGTTTAATCTAATTACACTTCACGTCAAAATTTGACAGTTCAATAATTAAATAACCCCAACAACAATTTATAATGATAATTTAATGATAATTAAACTGCCTATCATCGATATTAATAACCTCGAACGCCATCTACCAATTGAAAATCAATTAATATTAACTGTCAACGTATTTTAAATGTATTAATAATACATTTCAATTTTTAGAAATTGCTATTAATAAAAAGTATTTAATTAACTAGCAAATATGAAAAAACGAATTAGACTAAATATGAACATTAATTTCGAGTTGATAATTTGTATTATATAATCAAATTTTGTAAATTAAATTGCCTATCATCGATATTAATATCCTCGAACGCCATCTACCAATTGTAAATGAATTCATATTAACTGTCAACGTATTTAAATTTATTAATTGCTATTAATAATAAGTATTTAAGAAAATTCAATTAACTAGTAAACATGGAAAAACGAATTAGACTAAATATGAACATTAGTTTCCAGTTAATAATTTGTATTATATAATCAAATTAACCTAAACTGAAACGAACAAACATGTAATCACCATCAACAAATCTTCAGTTAATAACGCTATCTATTGGTAGTTTCATTTAATTACACTTCACGTCAAACTTTGACAGTTCAATAATTAAATAACCCAAACAACAATTTATAATGATAATTAACAATTAATATAGTGTTTTTATTTAATAATTACTATAATTATATATTAATTTCGATAATTACGTAATCAAATTTGTTAATTAAATTGGCTATCATCAATATTAATAACCTCGAACGCCATCTACCAATTGTAAATCAATTCATATTAACTGTCGACGTATTTAAATTTATTAATTACTATTAATAAGAAGTATTTAAGAAAATACAATTAACTAGCAAACATGGAAAAAATGAATTAGACTAAATATGAACATTAGTTTCGAGTTGATAATTTGTATTATATAATCAAATTAACTGAAACTGAAACGAACAAACATGTAATCACCATTCACATATCTTCAGTTAATAACGCTATCTATTGGTAGTTTCATTTAATTACACTTCACGTCAAAATTTGACAGTTCAATAATTAAATAACCCCAACAACAATTTATAATGATAATTTAATGATAATTAACTGTCAACGTATTTTGAATGTATTAATAATACATTTCAGTTTTTAGAAATTGCTATTAATAAAAAGTATTTAATTAACTAGCAAATATGAAAAAAAAATTAAACTAATTTGTATTATATAATCAAATTTTGTTAATCAAATTGCCTATCATCAATATTAATAACCTGAAACGCCATCTACCAATTGAAAATCAATTCATATTAACTGTCAACGTATTTAAATTTATTAATTGCTATTAATAAGAAGTATTTAAGAAAATACAATTAACTAGCAAACATGTAAAAAATGAATTAGACTAAATATGAACATTAATTTCAAGTTGATAATTTGTATTATATAAACAAATTTTGTTAATTAAATTGGCTACCATCGATATTAATAACCTCGAACGCCATCTACCAATTGAAACTCAATTCATATTAACTGTCAACGTATATAAATTTATTAATTGCTATTAATAAGAAGTATTTAAGAAAATACAATTAACTAGCAAACATGGAAAAAACGAATTAGACTAAATATGAACATTAGTTTCGAGTTGATAATTTGTATTATATAATCAAATTTTGTTAATCAAATTGCCTATCATCGATATTAATAACCTAAAACGCCATCTACCTAATCAACAAATACATTTATGTATTGGTTGTCAACGTATTCGCATTAACAAAATTTTAATAAAAAATCTACTTTATATGAGAGAAAGTAAACATTGCTTAATACTTATTTCATTAACTAAATAATCATCAAATAATTATAACATCAAATAAATTTGATAATTTGTATTATATCATCAAATTTGTTAATTAAATTGCCTATAAAAGATACCAATAAGCAAGAGCGCCATCTACTAGGCAACACTTAACAATATGATTAAATAGACAAATGTTTCAATTCTGTTTTTAAATTGACAAAAGCAAACTTTGAAAATTAATTTGTATTATATAATCAAATTTTGTTAATCAAATTGCCTATCCACCAATCAATCAATAAATTTACAGAAAATCTGCTTTGAGAGAAAGTAAACATTAGTTAATACTTATTTCATTAACTAACTAATTATCAAATAATTATTACTTCAAATACAAATTTGATAATTTGTATTATATCATCAAATCTGTTAATTAAATTGCCTATAAAAGATACCAATAACCGAGAGCGCCATCTACTAGGCAACACAATATAATTAAATAGAAAAAATGTTTCAATTCTTTTCTTTTTAAATTGACAAAAGCAAACTTTAGCTAATACATATTTAATGGCAATCATTAAAAAATACTTAAAAATCCATTTACGTAATCACATTATGCAACTCTAATCTCAATTGTAAAATTACAATTGTTTTTTTTAAACCAAATTTTTGTTGGTATCAATTAAAAAAATATTAAAAACTTTAAATTAAGAATTAATTTGTAATAATTGGCAAAATCGATATAGTTTTTGAAAAACATCTCGTATTATCGTCAACAAATTATGATTCATATTTATATTTAGAACATTTGAATTAAATTGTTTTTTTTTTGGTTAATTAAGCAACTGACAGTTAAAATTTGAATTGTTTCCGGTCTTGTCCTGCTGACTGAAACAGTTGATCTGGTTTGACCTATGTCAAATATGACGTTAATGATAGTTTGTTTGTGTGGTATTAGTGAGAGAGAGAAAGAGAGAGAGTGAGTAGATACTTACTTGTGAGTTAGTTTGTAGCATGGAACTGGTTGAGGTGTGAATGCCTTTTTTGTAAGTGTAGTTAGACTGTGAACTGGATGTGTGCTTTGATGTGTTGTAGAGGCCGCTCGATGTTACCATTTGCCGTTCCTGCTGGGCCTCCGTCGCCGAATTCCCCGCGCTGAACGTATCGGTCGTCACCTTAACACTGGTGTGCGCCATGTTTTTCATCTCCTGCTGGACCTTATCCGGCGTTATCAGCGACCTGGCCTCCTGCGATCGTCCACCAAAGAGAAACAAAAACAAAACAAAACAAAAAAAAAAATCAAAACACAATTGATTAATCAGAAGAGACGCGCGATCGTGACCCCTGTGACGTCATCGAGCGAGCGCGTGAGCGAGCGAATTTGTATTAAGATTACGATAATGTTGAATGAAGATGCTTTAAAGATTTTGATAAGAAAAGGAAATACAAATAGTCTTCACCGATTTGAAAACACCTCTGCGGATGGGCCATGGTGCAGACATGATGATGATAGTCGTCTCCGCAAAGTCTGGACGCTCTCTGAGAAACGGCAGACCTCGACGATAAAAATACAGCGTTCAACTGTTCAATGAAAAGAGGGAGCGAAAGAGAGAGAGAGAGAGACAGAATGGCAAATTCGCGGATTGGATTGGACGTCGGCCATGGAAAACATCGCGTTTTTGTTTTCAAACATCTTTTTTTTTGTTTTTAAATATTTTGTTTTTTCTTTTTGTTTTACCTTCATTGCGTAACGACGGGAAGAGAAAAAGAATCCACCTGACGACACTCGACTTGAAGAAGCCAACCTGACGATGGTGCACAACATCGCACACATCTTCTTAGTTACCTAATGTTTTCCATGACAACGACGACACCTAACAATAACAACAGTGCTGCTGGCTGTCAAAGACCCGCGGTATTTTTGGTGGCGGTCGTCGCCGTAGGCAACGCCCGTTCTTATCGATTTGTTTTATTAACGCAAACGCAAAATTGAACAAAAGAAAAATGCTCTGAGCTCACATACACCCACACACACACAGGGCCAACTCCGACGAGGTCGGTGGATTTCGGGTTTATGCAAGTAGAAGACGCGTAGTATCGATCCAACAAAGTGTGTTAGGGTAGTAGAAATAAGAAGAAGAAGAAGACGAAAAAAAAAACAAAAGAAAAACTTCTGTTATGGCAATTATTTCCGAAATCGATCCACGCCAACTGCACGCAATGACCGACATTAAAAGTAATTTAATAAAAAAAATATAAATCTTTTCCGCGAATTCTCGTTTGAATCGATCGTTAAAAAAGAGTAAAATTCGAAGAAATAATTGTTTGTTTTTTTTTTTATCAATTTTCATTTGAAATTAATTAAAGAAAAAGTGAAAAAGTCTAGATGAAAATGAAGTGAGAATTTGATGATGTAATTTTTTAAAGAATCGAGATTGAAAGAAAAAACAAATAATAAAAAAAACAAACAAATGAAGATGCATAAAATGCATCCATTTTGAAAAACAAAAAAAAATCTAAAGATGTGTCATAATCGGAAAGGGTTTGCGAATCGAAACAAGTGAAAATCGAATAATGAGATGAAATTGGAAAGATAATTGATTAAAAAAAAGTCATTATCAAATAGTTCATGAAATTGAAACAAAATGCTTTTGAAAAAAAAAACAAAACAAAAATATACTGAAGATGAGTCATCATCATCATCATCAAATGGTTTGCAAATTGAAACAAATGAAAATAGAATAATGAGAAGAGTCCATATTTAAAAACAAATGAAAAATGCTTAAAACAAAAAAGTGCAGAAGTCGCCCATTTTGAAAAAAACAAAACAAAAATATACTAAAGATGAGTCATAATCAAACGGTTTGTGATGTGTCCATATATAGGAAAAACAAACAATTGATAAAAAAAATCATTATCAAATAGTTTATGAAATTGAAACAAATGAAAATGCAATGTTGAGGAGAGTATATTTAAGAAAAAATGAAAAATGTTTAAAACAAAAAAGTGCAATAAATGTTCTGAATGATCAAAGAGTTTGCGAATCAAAACAATTGGAAATGAAATAATGAGAAGAGTCCACATTGGAAAAACAAATGATAAAAATGTTATTATCAAATAGTTCATGAAATTGAAACAAAATGCTTAAAACAAAATGTGCAATCTTAATTATCAGTCGCCCACTTTGACAAAAAAATACTAAAGATGAGTCATAATCAAACGGTTTGTGATGTGTCCATATATAGGAAAAACAAACAATTGATTAAAAAAAAATAATTATCAAATAGTTTGTGAAATTGAAACAAATGAAAACGCAATGTAAAGAAGAGTCCATATTTAAGAACAAATGAAAAATGTCTAAAACAAAAAAATAATGATCTGAATGATCAAAGAGTTTGCGAATCGAAACAATTGGAAATGAAATAATGAGAAGAGTCCACATTGGAAAAACAAATGATAAAAACGTTATTATCAAATAGTTCATGAAATTGAAACAAAATGCTTAAAACAAAATGTGCAATCTTAATTATCAGTCGACCACTTTGACAAAAAAATTACTAAAGATGAGTCATAATCAAACGGTTTGTGATGTGCCCATATATAGGAAAAACAATTGATAAAAATGTCATTATCAAATAGTTTGTGAAATTGAAACAAATGAAAATGCAATATTGAGGAGAGTCCATATTTAAGAACAAATGAAAAATGTCTAAAACAAAAAAAGTGCAATAAATGTTCTGAATGATCAAAGAGTTTGCGAATGGAAACAATTGGAAATGAAATAATGAGAAAAGTTACACATTGGAAAAACAAATGATAAAAATGTTATTATCAAATAGTTTATGAAATTGAAACAAAATGCTTAAAACAAAATGTGCAATCTTAATTATCAGTCGCCCACTTTGAAAAAAAATTGCTAAAGATTAGTCATAATCAAACGGTTTGTGATGTGCCCATATATAGGAAAAACAATTGATAAAAATGTCATTATCAAATAGTTTATGAAATTGAAACAAATGAAAATGAAATGTTGAGAAGAGTCCATATTTAAAAACAAATGAAAAATGTCTAAAACAAAAAAGAGCAAAGAGTTTGCGAATCGAAACAATTGGAAATGAGATAATGAGAAGAGTCCACATTGGAAAAACAAATGAAATAGTTTGTGAAATTGAAACAAATGAAAATGCTTAAGTATCAATCGACCATTTTGAATAATTAAAGAAAAACTAAAGATGAGTCATCGTCAAATGTTGGAAAAACAATTGATAAATGAATAATTATGAAAAAGTTCGTGAAATTGAAACAAATGAAAAGAAAACAGCTTCACTTACGGTGGCTTTGATCCTGGATTTTTCAGTGGAGATTCCGTCGACCTCGAGTTTGGCGTGGGAGGCCTTGGCCTGACTGTTTTCCTCGTAAGAGACGTCCCCGGTCTCCATCCTCTTGCTCTCCTCGAAGTTGGCGCTGGCTTTCTTCGCGCACAACCCATCCTTCACCATCTACAAATTAGAAGAAGAAAAAGAAAAATGAACATTCACGTAATCAACAACAATCGTATTAGCAACGGTAACAATAGCAACGCAAAGCTTACTTTAGATGTGCGAATGTTGTTCGTCGTCTTCTGTTCGAACTTGATGGTATCCATGGTGTTCGTCGGTGATCCGATCTCCGATGGAACCGGAGTATCGTCGGGGAAGGTGATCTTCGGCTGAGGATCATCGTCGGCGTCCACCAGATTCTCCAGACTCTTCTTGATGTTGTTGAAGTCGATGCTCTTCATCTCCGAAATGTTGTTCTTCAGTTCGTTCAGATTCGATTTGACCAGGTAGACTTGCGACGTTGATGAGCTGCTCACCGATGTCTTCCTCGACGTGGTCAGACTCGTCTGAGAGTTGGTAGGAAACTGCACGGACAGATAAAACGCACACACACAAAACATTAGATGAATTCGACGAAACGCAAATCTAGTCGTCATCGTCATCAACGATCTCGCATTATTTCGGGACTGCTGATGCATTGAATAAAAATCGCGACTATCCTGTTATCTAAGAATACAGCGTCTGGACGGACGCCAGAGTTGCGACACACACCATAGTAACCCGGGCAACCAAACAAATTTGTTTTGTTTCCGCGTAACCAAGCCATCTCACGTGACAACAGAGATTTTGTTTTGAACGCCTTCTATCATCCTAATAAAAGTATAATTTACAAAAAAAAAAGCGAAAATCACCAAAAAATAGGAAACCCAACGATTATTTTCTATTCAGGAAACGAAAAATGTTCTAAACATCACCTCTATTTTCGCAATGTTAAGATTCGCAACTGCATTCTGGAATTATGACAAATTCATAATAATCATCGAGATTTTTCTGGATTTCCCACTCACCAGGTTTAAAAATATACTCTCCGATTACGCAACCCAAAAAGCATCCCTTAGAATTTGGAAATGTGTCAAGTTCGTTTCATTATCTATTCTATTTTAAGCAAACAACGAAGTTCTCAGTAAGTTTCTCAGACTACATATTTTTTTGAGAATTCTCAACTTAATTCGCAAGAAAAATGTCAGTTTAACGTTGAGAAAAGATCATTTCGAAAATGCGCCGGATATGCAACCAAATGCACGTTTTTTTTTAAATGAAAAAGTTTGATGGTTTATAAGAAAAGAACGTCGAATGTCACAGATCAACAAGTGGGCTCGTTGGAAAGGCCAGAATTTCTTCTTCAATTTGAATATTCAATATTATAAATCACATTCTCAGTTGTGGAGAAATTATATAATGTTTCTAAAATGGCAAAAATCAATTTTATTTACTCTATTTTGACAGCTATCAGAAATCTGCTGGGAAGGCCACAGTTTTATCTTTGAAGCGTTGAGTCATCTAATTGGCGTGTGCAATCAATTAATAAAAAAACACACACATTTCTAACTTTGACAGCTCATAGCGAACGAACGACGTAAACCACAAATTTGTTGTTCGGTTCATCGGAAAGACTATAGTTTTAGCTTTAATTTGCATGTCGAATGATCCAATTAGCGTGCGCGGTTATCGAGCTATTAAGTAAAGTGTGAAAACGTGTTTGACATATGTCAAATAAGTTATAGTTACCATAGTTACCATTAACATAAAAAAAAGATTGTTAACAAATATTGCACAACAATATAAAACAATTGAACGTAACGGATGATAACTGCACATCTGCTGCCCACGGCCCACTTTGCAAAATCCAAATAAAACAAAACAATCGCAGAATTCGCCCACGTCGAATGTACATATAAATAAAGAAAAACAAAAATCGATCGACTTTCGATGCAAATGCTGCAAGTTTTTTTTCGCAGAAGAAGAAAAATAAAAGAAGAACAAGTGAAACGTAACATTCCATGGAAATCATGATTCTTGCTGCAAAACACACCAATTATGCGGCGCGCTCTTATCGCATTCGCTTAAGTAATAAAGATTAAACGTGAAAATAAACACACATAATTTAGTTTCATTGAAGCATCTCTATGAATCGAAATTCATGAAAATCGTCTTGTTTACTTGATAATTGTTGCATCGGAAGTTGTTTTATTTTTTATTTATTCGTTGCTATAGCGATGATTCACTCATTCGAGCGTGAAACTAATCGCGAAATCGTGGAAAAACATTTAATAATACGTATGGAAATCAATCGATTTCCGTTTATCTCGTTGTTCACCGAAAATTAACGCTATTTATAAACTCGTCTGATTAACGCAACTCTCTTAATATACATCGATGACTAACTAATTGCACGAATTTTATAATCAATTGATTCCATTTAATTTTAACTGTTTCGCAACTTCATCTTCTCTCTGCAAACAGTCTTTGATATCGCCGGATATGCAACCAAACCACCTCAACTATATATATATATAACATTTTGACGTTTAAACGTCAGAAATATCAGTGATTTCTCGTATCAAGAATAAATTACTTTGTGACATCATAGATGACGTGAAGTTGTATGAACTTTCAATAACAAACAAAACTAATCATTTGCACAGAACCAACATTGAACAATTCATCAACTGTCAAATTGACATTTCAATTATAAACGCGAATTTTGTTTTTTTATGTACAGACTTATAATAAATTATTTAATTGTAGGTTATTGCATTTGTTAACTGTCAATTTAAGATGATTCCTACAACTTGAATCCTTACCAACTGTCAAATTGACGTTTCATTGATTATATAACCTTTATTATTTGACAAATCAAACGTCAAATTTGTTTCAACTTTTTATCTTGTGCAAGAATTGTAACATTTTCGTGGTTCAAAGAAAGAAACAACTATTGTTGGGTCAAACTGTCGTCAGATGCTGCCGGTGTTATAATCGAGATGACGCGGTCACCATGACGATCAAGTGCGTGAAGCGCGCGATCAAGATCAAGTGCGTCCGGTTTCCGAGTTGCCAAGTTCAACGTGCGAAACAAAACAACAACAACAACATAAACAACAGTAGAAACTCACCTGCGAGGAAGTGGTAACGTTGACGCGACTCTTGAGCTTGTCGTGGTTGTTTGCCGTCGGATCGGACGCAAATTCGGGCGCCATCTGTACGAAAACAAGGAAATAAAACAAAATTAAACAATCGTTTTAACCTAATAATAGACAATAAAATTAAAAAAAAAAACAATTGATAGAAACAATTGATAGAAACAATTGAGCACCTCGAAAAACTGCCGCCTGCGACTGCGGTTCATGTTGGGTATGCCGGTTGGTTGCGAGTTTCGTCGCATCTCGCGTAAAAGTACACTTTAATAATTTTTTGTCCCGAAACTTCTATTTGTTACTAATTAGTTTTTTTGGTTATGTATTCACCGTTGGCCGTTTCGTAGCGGACTGAGGAGCCGTTCTCGATCGACGATAAGAGAGCGTTTGATTTTTTTTTTCCTCTCCATTTGGGTTTAAAAGAGGGGATCGCGAAAAACGTCTTGGATGTTATCTAATCTTATCGCAGGTGAGGCGATAACCGGAACACGATGAGCGGGAAAAAANNNNCTTGAGAAACAAAATCGAGCAACCCTTCGTCTCACCTTTGTTGCTATTGATGTTGTTGCTATGGTTTTTCGTGTGATTCACACTCTGCTGTTATGTAACCTATTTATTCTGCCTATTATCGAGCCGTCGTCCGAACTCTCTGGGCGCAGCGCGTTCGCATACTTAACACTAACTAACTTGTACACACTGTACTACTACAACTATATAACTTGTACGGCAATTGATCAAGGTCCGAGCTCAACTGAAATTGATGTGTGCGAAGAGAGTGGAATAGTTCGTGGGCGTTCGCGGATCGATTCTTTTCCTCATAATTTGTTGTCCACTTTCTGTTCCTCTTCCACCGATTCCAACTGCAACATTCGATTTTCCCACCCATCGTCGGAGTCAACAACACGTACACACTCTATGTAGTGTGACTAAGACAGGTTAATTCGCCGGTTCTCCTCGTTTTTATCGGCGATTCCGTCTCGGGGAGTCTCGATGAGTCAGAGTCGTTATTCCATGCAATTCATGTGCATACATATTTTCAGGCAAGCACACATGAATGGAATCTCTCGCAGCCAACTCACTCACTTTTAGTAGCGCGCGTCTGACTCACGAGGATTCCGCGAATCGCATCGCCTATGATGATGATGACAACAACATCAACAACAACGAAACGGGAGTGAGTAGCAACAAGGTGGTGGTAAAAACGAAAGACGACTACGATGATGATGCAACGGTTTCCACCAATCGCGTGCCTCGCAGCAGATAACAGCAACGCGTGTTGTCATAGCGATATACACATGTACAGCACACATCGTTCGGTTATGACATCAATTCGCGGCGCGCTCACGACTTCTCGCTTTATCGCCGGATTATCCACTTATCCGTGTGTGTGTCTGTGCGAGTTAAAAACATCGACTTTCTAGAATCCCACAAGCACTACTTACTATATCATAATATACACACTATCTTCTTAGATTTTATCAATGAAAAGCCAACATCACAAACGTCAAAGAACTTTTGACAAGTGTTTACTTGCATTTTTCGTTTGTTTAATTTTCCAAGGATATCCATAAATTTTGACACAAACGTTAAAGAACTTTTGACAATTGTTTGCTTGCATTTTTGATTTGTTTAATATTCCAAGGATATCCATGATCAAATTACCAACCATAAATTTTGACACAAACGTCAAAGAACTTTTGACAAGTGTTTACTTGCATCTTCGTTTGTTTAATTTTCCAAGGATATCCATAAATTTTGACACAAACGTCAAAAAACTTTTGACAATTGTTCGCTTGCATTTTTTATTTCTTTAATTTTACAAGGATATCAATGATCAAATTACCAACCATCAATTTTGACACAAACGTCAAACAACTTTTGCAAGTGTTTACTTGCATTTTTCGTTTGTTTAATTTTCCAAGGATATCCTTGATCCAAATTACCAACCATCAATTTTGACACAAACGTCAAAGAACTTTTGACAAGTGTTTACTTGCATTTTTTCGTTTGTTTAATTTTCCAAGAATATCCATGATCCAAATTACCAACCATAAATTTTGACATAAACGTCAAAGAACTTTTGACAAGAGTTTACTTGGATTTTTGATTTGTTTAATTTTCCAAGGATATCCATGATCAAATTACCAACCATCAATTTTGACACAAACGTCAAAGAACTTTTGACAATTGTTTGCTTGGATTTTTCATTTGTTTAATTTTCCAAGGATATCCATGATCCAAATTACCAACCATCAATTTTGACACAAACGTCAAAGAAATTTTGACAATTGTTTACTTGCATTTTTCGTTTGTTTAATTTTCCAAGGATATCAATGATCAAATTACCAACCATAAATTTTGACACAAACGTCAAAGAACTTTTGACAATTGTTTGCTTGCATCTTTCGTTTGTTTAATTTTCCAAGGATATCCATAAATTTTGAC